TTCTCAGAGACTATGAATCAGCCTCACAAACCTCACAGGCACAGGGAACAGTCCTCTCTTGATTTGTTCAGCTCCTCAAAACTCCAGCCACACAGCTCTCACTGAGACAGGCAGACAAACATATCAAACACACAGCTTGCCAAATCCTTTTACACCCAAGAAGACTGGCAGCTTTAAATGATTTCCCCCCCCTTCTTTTTATCTGTATAGTTGGACTGTTAGGGTATTTACATCCCTGTCCAACTTTACTGAATTTTAATTGGAGCACTGAAGTGTTGCAGGCAGTATGACAGCCAAGAAAGAATTGTGTAAACAGTAGTATTGATAAAATCCTATTAGTTCTAATAAATTACTTTTGGCAGCTATACTCCCAGTTTTGAGAAGGGTAGATCCTTCATGAAATTTTACCAGCTTGTCTCCCAGCCAGGTACAAAGTTCAAAGTTCTGTCTATTTTTAGTAATCAGAAACATTATTTTGTCTGAGTGATTTTGTATACTCTTATTATATCTCTTTGTTGAAAGTACTTTCTCACATCTGTCTCTTTAGTACCTCAGTTGCAATGGTAGCCTGTAGCATGATAGGTTAGAAACCATGCTGGGCCTTAGATAACCTGTATTTTCACCTAGACTATGTCAAAGGATTATAATATAGCCTTAGGCCAGTCATTCAGCTTTCTTAATACTCTGCAATATCTGTACAGTGCCTTGAAATCAGTAACTAAAAACTGCTATGTATGTTCTATATATTATTCTGCCCACTAACTGATTTCTCAGTGTATTCAGCTCCAGAAACATTAACACAGTTAGCCTGTGGGCTTACTTTACATCTGTGTCTAAAGCAGTGACTTTTTAAAGTTTGAACTAGAAAACATTATAAAGCAAAAAGTCTTTTGCATGTTAATGTTACAAGAAAATAGTATTATATTTTATCAGGGCTAGAGAAGTCAATACTTTAAGGAAGGAAAGAGCATATCTCACAAACCTTTGTTTCCAATTTAGAAGTAAATAGAATGCAATAAATAGCATGGATAGCTGTAAGTAATTTTAAGTTGAAAATAAATAATCACTGAAAAAAAATGCATTAAACTGCTCTTTGCACACTTTAAAATAAGATACTTTGTAAACAGGCACTCAGGTATAAGTGATTATCAGAATACGTATGGTTAGCTGCTGTAGCATATAAAATAAAGTTCCATAACAGCTCCAGAGCAAGGGACAGTAGATGTCCCAAGAGCAATAAAAATACAATATCAGATAAAGTGGGTAAAATGTTGAAGCCAGTTTCTATAGATTTCAGTTAAATTCAATTACCAAAGCTGAAGCCACTGTTTAAATTGCAGGAACAGTCTGTCCAAGATACTGTAAGATTTTTACTTGTGGCTTTTTGAACTGTGAACTAAATATTACAAAGAGATCAATAAATCTACAAAAGAAACTAGTATCTTTATGTTATCAGCTGATTTGTTTTAAAATTTGTTTTAAATTTTAAAAATTTGTTTTTTGATCAATAAATCTACAAAAGAAACTAGTATCTTTATGTTATCAGCTGATTTGTTTTAAAATGTGTTTGCTGACTAACTCTGGAGATCTGGAGTCCCTTGCTGTGGACAAACATAATTTTTATTAAATCTCTCTGTGCTAGTGCAAAGGCTTAAGTCAACATTTTTCTGTGGCTTCTGAGATATATCATTCAAACTAACCAGGTTAGGCAACAAAAACATTTAAAGGATCTTAATTATTCCAGAGTAACTAAATTTACCTTAAAGACATGCATTGGGGAATGCTTGTGCAAACGTTTTGCCTGGCAGAGTTTAGGGGATTTGTCTGAGAGAAGGTACCACCAGGCAGTGAGAAGCTGGGGTACAAACCAATGGTGGGGTCCTGTGTGGGGAAAGCTGGATGTCAAACCTGAGTTTTTCCATGTTCAGTAGACAAGGAAGGTAGACGACTTATCCTTTAACCTTAGACAACATACTCAGACTTGGTAATCACAGAGTTCATGTAACCAAAGTAAACATAAGTTAAGTGTACCTGTGGTTTAAAAACATATATTCTGGAAATAATATCTGAGAAGCAAAGATAAGTAACTTATATATTCCTCTTAAAATCAGTAACATTTGAATGCAAAAATATCACATAAATTGATCATTAACACTGCTTAATCAAATAATCACAAGCAAGGCAGATTTCTTTGAATCAAATTTATTTAAACCCTTCATTTTAATCACAATTTAAATGAGCAAGTAAGATTTGCTGATTTAGATAATTCATGCTAATCTTGTTTTACACTTGTATTTTACTTTAAAAAAAGGTCATTTTTATGACCTGGAATAATCTTTAGAAAAAAAAAATTGTCAGGCAGCACTAAGATTTCTTCCTCATTTATCATGGATTTTCTCTTGATAAATGATATATGAAAAAAAAAAATTGCTTTAGGTTTTGACCAGCTTAAAATATATTTGTTTAGATTTTTAAATTTATTTTGTGGTGGAAAATGGTTAAGAATTAATTTTGGTTTTTAAAAAAAGATAACTTGTGTTTTCTCTCATGCACAGGATAGAAACTAAAATGCAACTTAAAACATGTCATCAAATTTTAAGTCTTTTTCCTGAATTAAATAAAGGTACCATGAAATATGGACACATATAGGATAAAATGAATCAAATATATTAAAATGTTAAATGACTGATTTTTTTACATAAAAAGATTTATTACTATGTTTAATATAATTTCTGAAAATAACAGGCCAAATTTTAAAAAACATTTATATATTTAATAATTTAGATGACTTGTATTTTCAAAATCACAGTAAGGATTTGGTGTATGTTTATGTATATTGGAAAATTTCATTTGGATATAAGTGGTATAGAACCTATGTAAGCTAAAAACAACACAGTGAGAACCTTTTCCTTCAATTTTAAAAAAGGTTTTCTGATTTTTCCCATGACTATATATTGGTATGCTGAAAGAGAGAAAGAATGTTTTCAAACCCAAGGTCAGCTTGCCAGTCTCAAACACAAAAAATTTACTGTGAGTTTGCAACTGAAATTGAGATCAAAAGTAGTTAAAGCAAAAACTCATTGCACTGTGTACTTTTATTAAAATAGATTAAATCATATTATAATAGCTTAAAATTAAGTTATTCAGTACCTGTCATTACATTGACCTTAAAATTAGGTATTTTCCCTTTATCTTCTTGTGACCACTCTTGGATCATTCACTGATTGTTGCTTTACATTGTTATATAAAAACACAATCAATAAGCCAATTGTACTGTGCTTTTGTAACCACTGCTCATGTGTCTAACATTGATTATTAAACATGGAGATATGTGAAATGTCACTGTTGTTACTTATTTAACCTTTTCTATTACAGGATTATTCTATACATAATACAGCATAGATCTGTTTCTTATAGCTGAAAAATGCTTACTAATGAATAATGGAACCAAGAATTAATGACTTTATATCTACCCAAAAAGATTAAGAAATAGATAATATGTGGCTAATAAAACCTAAAAATCAAATTCTGCCTGATGATCCTAATCTTCTATGACAGAACAGCAGACCTCATGAATAGAATAGTAACATTAAGTAAGTTTTCCATACATAGCTTCCAAAAAACTCACTCACACACTTCTAACCACGATGATTTAATTAATGTATTTATAAGTGGCTGAATAATCAAAGTCAAAAATTATCTCATAATCAGCTCAGATTGTTATCATGGACAATCTGATTCACACTGGCCCTTTTTTGGGCAGAATTTGGACCATCTGAAATCCTAAGGTCCCTAACAACTGAAATAATTTAGTTCTGATCTTTTATGATACTGAAGCAGTATGCAAGGATTTTGGAAGGTGGGGCTAAAATTGAAAGTGTTCTTACATCAATTCAGTAGAAAGTGCAAACTTAATTCACCCTATCTTACACTGAGGATCTGACTGAACCATGTATTGAAATGGTTTTTTGCCTGTTACTTTGGTGGTTCACTGATTAGTAACTACACTGGGATTACAAGTATAGTTTGAAAATTTTATGTTATTGTCAACTGAATTGTTGAAACATTCTGGCTGTCATATGGCTTTATATCAAAAGGATGTGAAAGGTATTTTCAGATTATATATATCACCATGCAGCCTCATTATTAGGATCAAAGGTTCATAGGAAAATGCCAAGAAATGGACCAGAAGAAAACGGCTGTTTGGGAAAAGTGCTGTGAAAGCTACTTAGATAAGTAAAGCTAATATTCTTTCACATGACTCCATAATATTTAGAAGTATCTTTTTTGCATATATATATGTAGTCAATTGATTGTGCAGTCAGAACATATACATTACCATTAAAGAATAGCGATATAGTTTATATTAAAAGGTTAAAATCAATCAGCTCTTGGATTTTAAAATTTAACCATATTATTCATGTTCAGTGAAAGTTCCTTGATGTATGGAAGAGCATAAAAGGGTGATTTAAATTGTAAGAAATACGGTGTTTGGATAATTAGGAGGCATAAACCTAAATCCTTTTATGATATTCGTTTCTGTTGAATTAAAATAAGGAAGATTCAGATAATGATCTGAATAACAATGAGCACTGAGTTCCCAAGTAAGTCGAAGAGCTGTATGAACTGAATTCAAATATGTGAGATGTGGTATCTATTGATATTTAATCTTTTCCTCCTTCCTGGCTTTTGTAAAAGTTAGAAGTGAATAGATATTCTGAAAGTAATGGTTTACCTTTTCCCTTGTGTCAGGAGGAAGAAGGAGCTTTCTCATTAATCAAATAAATGGGTTTTAGGCATTTTTTTAATATATTCTAAATTACAAGAACACTAAAAATAAAACATTATAAACTGCTTAGTATCTGAAACATCTGAAGCTGAGATATATAGCAATACATCGCTGCGCATATGAGCTCATCTCCTTTGCTCATGGTGTTTTTCCCCATCCATATATAATGCACACAGTAGCTCTGACTTTGGTTTTGTGCTTTTCCTTTCAGGTTTGGATATATTCTTCATAAGGACGATCCCATGCTCCAGAAAATTGATCTAGAAACTATGTCTTACATCAAGACAATTAGTTTAAAGGATTATAATTGCATTCCTGAGTCACTGGCTTATACACATCTTGGAGGGTATCTTTTTATCTGCTGTAAGCCTGACAGCACTGGGGCTGTGCTCCCACAGCTCATCGTGGACAGTGTCACTGATTCCGTGATTGGATACAACGGCGACGTGACGGGCACGCCACATATCTCTCCAGATGGACACTACCTTCTCAGCATTGATGATGCAAAAGGCCTCATGAGGATCCAGACCATAACAGTGAGAGGAGAAATACAGGATGCATTTGACATTCACACTAACTTGCACATATCTGATGTAGCTTTTCAGCCGTCCTTCACTGAAGCTCATCAATACAACGTCTACTGCAGCTCCAGCACACAAACTGACGTTCTCTTCATGGAGCTCTCCTCTGGCAAGGTGAAGATGGTGAAGAGTCTGAAGGAGCCCATCAAGGCAGGCGAATGGCCTTGGAACAGTAAGAACCGTCTTATAAAAGACAGTGGCCTTTTTGGTCAGTATCTCATGACCCCTTCCAAGGAATCTCTGTTTATCCTGGATGGACGGCTCAATAAGTTAAATTGTGAAATCACCGAAGTTGAGAGAGGCAACACAGTAATTTGGGTTAGAGAAGCATAAGAATCTGTGTTAGGTATTTACTGAGTTAATAGTTTTACAGTACATTGCACTTAAATTACACCATTCTTCAAATTTACACTATTTTAATTTTAAATTGTTAGGCCCTTTTTTACCTGTTATTTCTTTGACATGTACACAGTTTGAATCAACTTCCACAGAAAAGTGACTAAAATGATGCCTATTTGATAATGGTACTCCTTATTAATTATCAACAGATTGTGTTGTTTTTTAAACTAACTAAATATTCAAATTGATGATAAGTATAATAATTTACCATAAAAAAAGAAGAAGAAAGAAAAAAACCACCAAAAATGCTTCAGGAAATTTAATGTGATACTTTGCATTTGTAAATGGAAGACTTAAACATGGTGATAATTTTATTTTGTTTTGCTTCAGACACAAAACAAGAACTGTTGTACAACAACCTTTGACTCCTTAAGCTGAAATGTTATGTCCTGTTCAGTCCATTGTTAAATCTTTTTGTGCCTTGAAGCGAAAGTCTCACAAGAAAGACAAACATAGAAATTATAAAATTTATTCCCACTGTGGCTACAGGATCACTGGTCATTGGAAAGAAAGTTTTACTATCAAATTCTAGGTGTCAAGTTGTGCAACATACATGGACAGGAAAAAAAAATTATATTTGCAGTGTTTTCTGATCACTGCATTTTGGAGTTAATTTTTATGGTCTATTAGTTGAGAAATCTGCTTTCAGAAGCTTAACTTTTTTTAGGAAAAAAAAAAAGATAGGTTTTTCAGCTATTACAGAATGGCATCAGCAAGGAGTTTCAAGTCTACTGAAGAGAAATATTGCACATCCTTCAAGAATATACCACATTCTAAAAACCTGCTATCACAAAGTTTCACTTATATCATTGAGGAAATTATTAATTGAACATAAAGAAAATGCATTTTAAGATAATGAGAATGCAAAGAACTCAAGTCTATGACCAGTAAATAACATTTTTGCCTATTTCTTGTACCATTGATTCCTATTCTTTAAATCATTTGGTTAGCTCAACAGGTTTTCTAGTCCTTGCATCCAACTGGATTAGTGCAAAAAAACAAAAACAAAACAAAAAAAAAAAACAACAAAAAACTTTGTATTTTTTATAGTTTGTTTACTTAATATTCTAATATAACACTGGTTAAACATGGGAAAAATAAGATTCCCAGAAGTAGAATAACAAGTTGATAGAAAGCCAGCAGTGAACATCTATCCAAACTCAGAGCAATGACTTAGAAGTTTGAGAATATTTTTATTTTTATTATGTTTTTGCTAACGAATGCTTATAAGCTCTTAAAATGACCTCCATTTACTGAAGGCAATCAGAAAAAAATATCTTTTTTTAAACAAAGTTTTACTGCAATTTAGATTGTGTAAAATTGCTTCGAAATCTGGAATTTTCTAGCATTGTAATCTTGTGTGCATTGAGCATTCTGCCCTGTGTGGTACAGTAGATCTCTCTTTAGCTTGAGCAAACCTCCTGGTAAGTAGCTTTAACTGAGATAAAAATTTGCTTACATTTCTAGCTGCTGAATCTATTTTCCTTTTTAAGAACTCCTCTCCATTGTGAACAAACAATAATCATGTAAACTGTCTGTTACTCAATTGAAGTAGTCTGTCTCATGCAGTTTTTGTTCTGTAATTTATACCACGTGAATGTTCTGTATGTAGAAAATGCTTGACAAAAGGAGAATAAACCCCATAAATTTTAAACAGTCCTGACTTTGGTGAATCATCCAATCAGCTGCACTGAGCTAGCAAGTAAAACTGACTATTCAAAAGCACCTATTATTTTTAATAGATGTATGAAAATAGATGTATTTATATATATGCAAAATACTATGCAGTGTGGAAAGAAAATTTTTAGAAAAGTGTAAGTAACTGAAAAAGTTTCCTTTGGCTGCTACAAAGGAAAGCTCATCTTATAGCACAAGCTCACCTATTAGCACATCTAAAGCACAAGCACAGGCTGAGTGGAGAATGGATTGAGACAAGCCTTGGGGAGAAAGCCTTGGGAGTGTTATATGACTCAGCAGTGTGTGCTTGCAACCCAGAAATCCAACTGCATCCTGGTCTGCATCAAGAGAGATATGATCAGCAGGTTGAGTGATGGGATTATTATTATTATTTGCCTTCAATAATTCTTTTTTTGACAATATTGTGCAGACTGTGTGTGTAAATAATGGTCACAATTTCTCATCATTGTTTTTTCAGTGAAGTTAAACAAATATTGGATCACCATGGTTGCTTTCATAGCTCTTATAGTTGAAGTTCAGCTTTCTCAAATACAGATGGCCTGACTGAAAACTTTAATCTGAATGAGGGGAAGAGCTAGAACCTGTTTCCATTTTTTTCTAGCAGCTCTATGAGGAAAGCTGATGTAAGGGGCCTTTTTCATCCCAGAGGCAACATCTCCAGGGAGGCCTAATAGCAGCCTGCCATTACCCATGAGAGGTTATAAAAGAGACAGGGTTAGATTCTTCACAGCTCTGCATAGCAGGAGGACAAGACAGCAGCATGAATTAAACCAAGAGTTTCAGGCTGGATATAAGAAAAGCTTTGATGACAGTCAGGCATGGGAGCAGGTTGCTTAGAGAGACTATGCAGTCTCCATCCTGGGTGCTTTTTAACACCTGTCTGGATTATGCCCATCTGACCTTTAGTGGAACTGGCTGTGACTAGCAGAGTGTTGGACCACAGACCTGCCAAGGGCCCTTCAAATTTCAATTGTCTTGTGGTTCTATCATGAGAGCTTGGGGATGGAGACTTAATTTGTTTTAGTTGCTTAACTTTCTGATTGAGTTTAATGTAAAACCTGCAAGTGTTACAGTTGGGCTAAAGTATGGCCTAAGCAAAACTCAAAAACCAGTATGTTTTGTCACTTGAAATCCTTAGCTTGGAACAGCCAAGGATATTCTCATTTGAAATCTGGAACAGTTCTTGGATTCCAGGAAGTCCTAAGCTGATTATAGAACTTGTACAGGATGAAATATGCAGAGGTAAGTGCTTCTTTTGACGTATCTGAAAAATAGCTATGGCATAGAGAAGGAGGACTTGAGAAATCCACTGTAGATAGGATCTGGGTATGTGTCCAAATGTGAACATAAGTGTATCCTTAGAATCAGATTTTCTAGTAAATCTTTTCTAGGCATCTATAGTATGGTTCAGTAGTGGAATAAAATGATCTGTTAACTTAGTAATCAATTGGAGATAGGAGAGCTCATGTCATAACTATGGTCCTATCTACAAAAGAAGCACTGTAGCACAGACAAAGTCCTGTTCACCTCTCATCAGTTTGTCCTTTACATTTTGGTCTTCATCTTAAGCAGTTCCTAAAGAAATCTGCTGAAAACTTTGTTTTAAAGTTAGCAACTAAAATGTAAAATATATAAGAATTTTTAAAAATATATACTTAAGCATTATTTAGCTGTAATGACCCATAAGTGTGAATTAAATTTTTTGTGAATACTGTTGTTAAATGAGGAAAGACTTAGTCAAAACTTTATCTAAAAAATCCTAATTTCAGCCAAATTCAGAAAGTGACAAGATAGAGCAAATGATGTGAGAGAGAGGAAAAAGTCATTCTGTACATACAAACATTAATTAGAGAGATGCGAGATGGGGCTCAGCAGTTGAGAACCTTTGCACTTGCACCACACTAACACTGATTCACTGTGACCAATCTCCCCATAATGGAGGAAGACTTGGAGGAGAAGGGCAAAAATAATGAGCTCAGGGAAGAATGTCAAGAATGGCCAATTATTGTAAAGAAAGCTGCATTTTTTAGGGGGACTGAAAAGTAAACTTTGGCTTAGATACACAACTGTACCAGAGAGTCGTCAGGTTGTATAGACAGACAGCTTTAGCTGAGATAATTAGTGGAGACTACTCTGAGCTAGCCAGAGCAGCATGGAGGGTGAAAGTGTACATGTGGCTCAACCTAAGGTTAAGTTTGAAAACTGGCCAGCTACCAAAATGAACTTTGAAGAGTGTAATGGGCTTGACCTGATTCATCCCTTGTACTCCTTTCTGGTGACTTGACCCACTCAGCAGCATAATGATGAGAATACAGGGACTGGTAATGGGAACCATGTTTGTATGGTGATTCAATTGCATATTGCAATAGCTACACTGTGCTTCTGGTATGGTTTCACAGTGCTGCTGTAATACTCTGCGAAATCAAAATGCCATGAAACAACAATTAAATAAAGTAAATTTGGTATTAAACTTTAAATCCTCCTAAGGTGAAAGCTCTAAAATAACCTAGTCAGAAGGTGTTGAACTCCTACCTCCACACACTATCAATCCATATGTAATACTGGAATTAAAAAAAAAATAAAAATCAACACAGTGCTTCATGGTATTAGAATAATAATTAAATTTGGAAGTAATGAGTGAAATACTACTTATGCTGATGTTAGGAGCATTTAATTTTATAGTCAGTGATTATCACATTATGCAGAACACAGTAATGTCAACGAAGATGATGTGGTGAATGATTTCCTTGATATATTGGGGAAAGAAGAGATTCTGACAGGTCTGTAACCTGAGAGTTAAGATATCATCATCTAAGATATGTTTATGTTCCTTAGCACAGGTAATTCAACTTCCAGATTTTTCAAGGGGTTTTATGTTGGGGTGTTTTTGTTTGGATTTGAAGGGTTGTTGATTGGGGTTTTTGTTGGGTATTTTTGGGGGGAGGGAGACAGATGTTTAAATAATAAGACATTTTCAGAGAAAGTACTAACAAGACTATGTGTCAAAAATATATTGATACTACTGATAAAAATTAATAAACAGGAGTTTAAAATACATATTTCACTTGAATCTATCCTGCCTGTCACCTCTTAATGGGTTAAATGCCCTGTTGGTGTGCCACTACTTTAAAAATGATTTTAAACTGTCTTCAGTGAGCTATCTTTCATAAAGTATGACAAATTCAGTTACTGATAAAAGACTGAAAGATACTGAAATTGCTTTTTTTCTATTTAGAACTAATGCATGAAAGATTGCTTCTTTTAGCTTATGAATATTAAACGTGTTCTTATTTTAATCTAATAGATGAAAAAAAAGCTTCCTGTTATTTGTCATGATGTTAATGTTCTTATTTTAATCTTCTCAAGGTATGTGTCCTTTACACAAGGATGGACAATAGTTCTCTCAATTTGCAATGCTTCTTTTTATATTTTTCTCT